GAGAGAGAGAGAGAGAGAGAGAGAGAGAGAGAGAGAGAGAGAGAGAGAGAGAGAGAGAGAGAGAGAGAGAGAGAGAGAGAGAGAGAGTTGCAAATCTGAATGCAAATGCGAATGCATCATGGGAAACAAATCCACAACTCAATCCGACAGCAACACTGCAACAACTTCATCTTAACTTTCACTTGCACAATAGATCGCTTAGGAAATTCTCTGGACGCTCAGTTGCAGAAACACACACACACACACACACGCACCGCATTTCCAAAGAGAAGCTACATGTCCATCAAATGCAGCGACTTCCATGGGAGCGACTATGAAATCTTGGAAACAGTTGCGATAATGCACACATAGCATTCACAAAGATGAGTGTGAAATGCAGCAACATTCGGGGAACAAACTGCCAAGCCCGGGGAACGAACCGCCAAGCCCAGCGAACGAACCCGCCATTCAGAGATTCCATACGGCTATGCGAAATCACCAGGTCTACATGGCATAACATGTGCTGTGTACAGTGCATAGCACTTTGAAAGAAAACAGTGCAAGTACAAGAAAGTTGAAGAAAAAACAGTGCAAGTACAAGTACAAGAAAGTTGAAGAAACAAGACAGCTACATTCGGGAAATCCAGTCTCGCCATGTGGGAGAATCAAATCTGACTACGAGGAGTGCCATACATCCATGCATCACAGTCAAGCTTCTTCTCTTCCTTCCGCAGCTCTGCAAACAATTCATCCTTTATTGCTTTCAGTGTCTCTGCTTGCTTGTCCTCAACCACAGTCAAGTCTTCTGCCAGCATGGAGAACAAACCCTCCTCCGACACGGAAGATGGCCGATGGGGATGGGTCAGTTGGGATGGCGAGGGCATACTCATCGCGTTCCTCATCATTCTTCCCTTCCTTCGCCTGAGATTACAGCGTAGAGATAACCACCTAGCCCTTCAACACAAGAACTGCGATAGCTGGATGGTCATCCGGCTGCAACCACCTATCTGGCTCTCTGCCTGTCCAACTATCCAGCTCTCACACACACACACACACACACACACACACACACACACACACACACACACACACACGCACACACAGCCACATTCGACACGATGCAGAATGGCACATGACAATAGCAATGATCTCTCTCAATCACAGGCAAAATGAACAATGAAAAAAAATCCTACTCTCAGTCAAAATACTAAAATAGTTAATATGCACGCATGAATGCTTTAACAATTATTGAAAATCAGGATTACCTAGCCACATGGACCACTGCTCATCAATGTACTTTCCGCGCCATGCCATTTGAAAGGTATTATCTATCACACAAAAAACAGTGAGACAAAGCAGTTATGAACACGGAATCCATGCACATGACAACACTATCTTCTGCCAATTAACAATGGTGCAACCCAAGCCCATGGTAAGAATTGAACAGTGATGAAGTAACCGCAGCTCATGGCAATTTTATGGCAAAATGATAAACGAAAAGCAGCCGCTTGTTCTCCCCCCCCCCCCCCCCCCCCCCCCCCC